CCCTGGCGCTGGAGTGGAGTGTATCACGGCCTGTGCGTGCGCCGCAGTCCTTACAGTTGTAATCGTCATATTTCAGGTGCACAGCGCGTGCGGGGCTGCTCTCCACATCAAACTTTGGACCTAAAACTGGACTTTTCTAACCATGAACAAATATGGAAATGTCTAGAGACACCATCTTCCTTGTCGGAAAATTCTGTTTATAACAAGCCTACATGTGATAGGGGTGCGAGGTACATCGAAACAGGTATGCATAGGAAAAAAGGGAAACGCATGTAAGGGAATCATTCGAAGTAAGCTTTTAATTAAACGACAGTATGAAGGGTTAAACGACCAATAAGCATGAAGGACAGGCCGGCGTCTCGCATTACTGTTCGCAGGAACAGTGGCAGTGGCTGGTGCATCGGTGTGGCCGGGAAGCGGGCGGAACTGGGCCAGGATCAGACCCCATGCGACGGGCCAGCGCCATGAGGCAGACTTGTTCTACGAGGTAAGTCAGGATCAGGGGAACGCGGCCGTTTCTGACTCGTCGAAGCTGTCGAAGTTTCCTCACGGTAAACACGTTTCAATTCCAGAAAGTTTTTCACAATCTGTTTTATCACCTCAGTACTATTATTGTCATCCTTCTCTTTCTTAAACACATAGACCTTGTAATAGGGCAAATCTATTCTGTGTTAATAGAAGAGAGATCTCTTAGTTTGTTTGTTTTCTATTGTTTTTCATATTCATTCATGATTCTTTATTTGCTAACAAGTACTTACTTAATTAACGGTGGGTCAGAATATGAGCCTTTGCGCCCATGTTTAGGATAATATTTAATATTTTTCATGGGATCATAGTATCCCCCCTGGTTGATTGCAACTTGACTCACAGCACATGTGCTACTCAACTGCTCTTCTAATTCATTTAGGTCTTCTGGCTTTAAAGCAGACGGTGGCTTGTTCATTCTTTTTTCTTCATCGGATTGCTCCACCTAAGCACATAGATTTTAAGGGTAGGGCATTTTAGATTACCTTGATAATTGGTGGAGAATAAGTAAGAATATACTAACATTCAAGACCCATTCACCAACTACGTCATACAGTTTTCTTGTCAGCATTCTATTTAAAATGCGCCTTGCTTTCTCAAAATTTGGCTCACTACTGTAGAGTATTTTTTCCAAAATTGAATCAGTAAGCTCCAAAAAGCTCCGAGGGTCTTCATGCACACGAGACAAAATTTTATTCCTAATGAAAAACCGTTACCGCGAATTAC